GAGACGACTTTTCTCTAAAAAATCGACTCTGACTCTTAACTGTTCCGGCCCGGATGTACCGAGCGGTTGAATTTGAGTTAAGAATTGTGGCGAATCGCAGGCAAATGGTAAACGGCCTAAAAAATTGGATCTTCTCCAGTTGCAAACCCATATTTAATCACTTGGTAATGTAGTCGGCCAGACAATATATTTCAATTAGGCTTTAGCGTCGAGCGGCAAACACTGTCACTTAACTAGTTGTTTGTTATTTACACCCTTGCTCACTTATAATACCAAACGGGGGCGAATTCAGCTCTCGTGTAAGGTTTTGTGCGCCCCAACAGGGATTATGTGGGCTTATGACTTAGATTACAACTTGGAGACTTTGCGCTCACAGAGCACTGTTTTCCTGGACCGGTTTAATTTGATAATCCTTATGAATTCAACGCGGTTAAGTTTGTTTTCTTGTTGTCGCAAAAAGTCGACGTTCTACGACCAGCTGTGTAGTTGCTCATGCATTCAACCCCTCGACTTATCCAAATCGCCACTTGTCGACGTGTAAGGACGCTTCAGCACATGTTTAGGGCCGCAGATCGCTTAATAATAACCCCATCGGCCTGCCGGAATTATTTTCCAATATCCCCCGGACGACTCCCTAAAGGCATACTCTAAGTCGAGGACTCTTCATTGTTTCGCTGCTGCTCTCCATCATATGCGTCTGCACTGATTAAACGGTCTGGATTTCATTGATTCAAGGGGGTTTAGATCGGGCGGGCGCGCCGGCCTTTATCAGCAAATCTGACATCTGGACTCGGTTTGCATCTGATATTTTTACAAGTCCAAACCCAGGCCGGAATTAGCGAATGGCATAGTTTATGCCCTCAGGCCACAACGACCAGTAAATCCCTAATGGCAACATTACTGGGCCTTTTAGGGCCGGCTTGGGGACATTTGGGGAACCGATTTTAATTAAGATATTGGAAGCAATTGGGCCAATTTGCCAGAATATCGACTTGATGATTCAGCCAAACTGCTGCCATTAACAGGCCCATTTGCTGCATTTTACTATTTATTAAATTTTATGTTTAGCCAGTCGGACTCGGCTCGTTAACTTGCCACGTGTCCATGACGATCATTTGCAGTTGCATGTACAAGACTTTTCACTGCCCTTGACAGGCCATCAGGTTCCATTTGGATGTGTGAAGAGAATTCAGGTTGACTGGGCCAGATTTGCAAACGTGTGTGGTTTCAGTGAGAACATTACAAGCAAAAGCTTGGATAAGCACGAGGAAATTGAAATTTCTTAGTAGTTGATGGGGAAATAGCACAGTTTGGACGCGAAGTCTATTAATGTTATGCTAAACTGCTCAAGGCTAGCAGAAGCAATTTGCCCCAATTTTCTGAGAACTGGACAACTTCTGATTATTGCGGGCGATTGAATTGTTGTTTGCAGCCTTATCTAGTACAGCTGTTTTCCTGCCAGAGTGTTTTTCCACGAATTAGATGCGTAATTTAGGTAGACTGTACAGAGTGGAAAACGGGACGATGCAAAATTTCGGGACAAAAAGCACTTTGTTCGTGGGCCACAATCCTTCAGACTCACTTTCAACTGCCCGGTCCATCTAGGCCTGGGAAGCACTGTGTTGGGTTGCGCTATTGAGTTGTTGCAGCTCTCTGAGTTGGCCAGTTATAACTCATCGGCTATTGAGTTATGATTCATTTGTTAAAGTTTTACGAGACAGGAATTTTCACATTTAAAATAGGGTTATTAACTTGTTTTCTGAGTAACGTTTTACTACTCTGTTCAAACAACTAAGAAAAGTCATCTAGATTTTCCCAGCAACCGAACGGAGTCCAAAGAAATTCGACGAGTTTTCCTGTAAAATCGATCTTTTCAGTTCTTTGCATCAAAGATTCATAAAAAAAAAGTTAAAAATTTGAAGTCGAGTTATGGCGAACAAAAACTTGATAAATTTTTATCTTATCTGAATAATAAAGAACCAACAATTAAATTCACTATTGAAAAAAAAAACAAAATCACCAAATTAACCTATTACGAACCTTTTCAGTCCATTTACTCCAGGACTTTCAGATCAAATTAAACGAGTAGGTAAAAAATTTAATATTAGGACTATCTTCAAAACTGAAAATACAATTAGAAGTAAAATTTCAG